TTTTTTTTTTTTTTTTTTTTTTTTTTTAATTTGGTGCTGGGGATTGAACCTAGGGCCTTATGCATGGTAGGCAAGCACTTTACCGCTAAACATCCCCAGATCTCCTGTTCCCTATCCTATCCTACTTTTGCTTTTTTAAAACAAGGTTTTTCTAAATTGCCCAGACTGGACTTAAATTTGTGATTCTTCTGTCTCGGGCTCCTGAGTAGCTGGGATTACAGGCTACTATGCCCAGTTTACCATTATTTTCTCTGTGTGTGCATGTCTGTATTGTTGACACATTAACATTGCTGTGTGATTAATCTCCAGCACTCTTGTATCTTGCACAATTGAGGCTCTAAGCTGGGTATGAGAGTGCACACCTGAGTCACAGCATTCGGGACACAGAGGCAGGAGGATTGCTGCAAGTTTGAGGCCATCCTGGGGTACATAGTGAGTTCAAGGGCAGCCTCTTTTTGATAAAACCCATCTTTTAAGGCTTTTATCATAAGTATTTGATAATATATTTGAAAGGCAAAAGAAGAAAAACACCCTTACCTGACATTGGTATTATTGGAAATTGTTTCTGTCCAGGGTGGGGGGTAGAAAGAATCTGTGGTGATTCTGATCCTGGTTATTACTACAGACACAAAGCTCCTAAATGTATGATCACATCTACACTTGGTGCATCCTTTAAAACAAACCCCACCGTGAATTACACTGACCCATGAGAATTAAGTCTCTTCCTACAGTGAGGTACAAATATTTCATGAGCTATGAATGTTTAATTTGGAAAATACTTGGCATCATTCTAGGTCTTTATTTCAGAAAACATCCTTGGATGGCATGGGTCCAAGTCACATTCCACAGAGCAGCTGAAAAATGGGACACTGAGCTCTTTACCATCAGCCAGTGCCAACATAACCTGGGCAATTTTACCAAACTCCACCGAGGATGAACAGACCTTACAGCCAGAGCCAGAGGTAAGCTAGCCCGTCCTCCCTTAGTGCATTCATGGCTTGTGTTATTGCTTGTTCAGAAATACAGTGATTATATTTGTAACTTGCTCATCTCTCTGTTTTAAGAGGAGACAAATTATCAAATGGAAGAATTGCTTGGAGAGACCAAATCGGCTCCATGCCGGCCTGGCGCTTCTCTTATTCCTTACGTCTGGCAGCTGCCGTAGGTAAATTGCAATCTTCCAAATGAGGAACCTCCTAATTTCATTGAAATGGGAGCCATTTTAACTTCAAATGGGAGAAAGTGTAACAGACCCATTAAAATGATGCTTATTGACCTGATGGGAGCAGTTACAATATATTATGTCGCTCCCCTGAATAATGGCTTCTTCGTGTGGTTTGTGCTGATGAAAGCTCCTGCCTCACATGCTCGACTCCTGCATGCTACTGAATCAGCCAGAGTCCGTGGGGCAGTGGCCAAGACCCTGCGTGGGAACTGCACTGTAGCCCAGCTCAGGCTGCTGGTGGTAACTGCCCCGACTCGTCGCGGAGGAGTGGCCCCTGCAGTTCTTGACCACTGGCTCGGTCCCCGCAGGCCCCGTGGACTCTGCCATCTGCTGCCCCAGCTCCGCTCTCCTAGCTCTGCCTCTTAAGTGGCAGTTGGAAGGGCACCAAATGCAGGGATTCCTTTTGCCAGTTTTCCTTTGTGTCAGGAGTGCGCTTTTCATTTCTCTTTCCTTTGATGTACATGTCCTCTTGAGATGGTCTCTTGAACCAGGCCAAGACTGGCTTGAACCACCTGTTCTAAGTTATTCTTAATTTCAGTTGAAATCATTTTTGTCTGAAAATCGTGGACCATTACAATAGCTATTTTGAAAGATTGAAAGCCCGAAGGCTGCCTCTTGAAGCAGGTAGTCGTGGTTGTCAGTTGAAATTTTTCTCTAAGCTTCCTATGATTATATTCGCTAACAGTGACTTACAAAGGAGCTATCAGTCTGCCTACAAATATTTCATTAGCTTCTCTAAGGGGCCTTAGCACGGTACGAAGCAAATAGGTGATGTGAAGTTTTCAAAGGCATTTGGCCTGTATCCATGCAGCTGCTGTGTAAGTGAATTGCAGGTAAGTTGCCAACTGAGTCCATGGTAGGAGCCCTGCTGTCTCCTTTGGGGGGAACTGAGTGGGTTGGCCTTTGAGGATGCGGTGTCTGGCTGTTAAAGGACTGAAAGAAATACTGTGCAGTGTCTTTTATTCTCTCCAAAAGCAGCCTGGCTGTGAGTGGGGGTGTCTCACCACAGTGAATGTATTTAAAGGTTTGCTCTACAGGAAGATGAGGAGTGGAAAAGTGAGTTATTAGATCGTTAGTAGTCATGGTTTAGATCCTTATTTCTTGCAGGCTTCTGGGCAAAACTAACAGGGGCCATAACCTAATAAACCTACTACTCACTGGGGCTGGTGATGTTCCTGACTCTGTGAATTCTTCTTACTGTTTCTGCTGCTTTTCTCAACTAGGTGCTTCCTCTGACAGCAGAAGCCTGAGAGACCGGGTCTGTGGTTTGTAATAAAATTGTCATTCACTTGCTACCAGTTGGTAGAACTGGCAAAAGGTAGCATATAATTGTCCATAAGAAATAAGTAGCTCCTGAGTTCAACTGTTTAGAGATACCTTGAAGGAGAAGAGCTTTTGCCATTAAGTCGGAACCATTATTAACTTCTGGTTGTCATTTTTTTACCATTATTCCTTCGGTCAGAGCAATATAAAGTATTTCTCAGTGATACAAAATATTGTTCAGTGATTCCTTTTAGCAGTGAGAGACTTATAGAATGTGAGGGGGGCGGTTGCTGATTTTCTGAACAGGGAGAATTAGTTTTTTGACAAAGCCTCCCCTTGTTTTTTCAGTGACAGTGCTGGTGTATGATTCTCAAAACCCAAACAGCTAATGTTGGTTGGACACTTTCTCTTTTTAGGCCATCGTACTTTGCCATCTTTTTTTTTTTTTTTTTTTTTTTCTTTTTT